ACGATTTGAGAAGCTTCAGCGGACCAACATCGTCGCACAGCAGATGCAACTATTTGAGCTCAGGCTGAAGTTTGAGAACACACAAAGTGCCTCAGCTGATGACCTCATGGATCTCAAGAACAGCCTTAAAGACTACGGTGCGAGCTGAACAGAACATTAGCGAACTACAAGAGCCACGTAGCTGACAAAATACTAGTCACCGCAATTCGAGACTACCAATTCATTCGAAGTCGAAAGAGTGTGGAGAGGGAAGACATGCATCAGAGGAGACTTCTGCTGCAAGCATGGTTCCAGCCTAGGTTTGGGGATGGCGACGTGTTCTGGTCTCACTATGCCCACTTCGACGAGACAGCAGCCACAATTGACCCTTTCCGGAGCTTTTTGATGAGCAGACTGCCCATCTACCTCACCTACACCAAGAATGAGCGATCTGACCGGCGGGCAGCGTACACCGACGGCAAGGGGCCCAAGGATGTGTCGCCATTTGTCGACCACCTCGCACGCTTCGTGATAGCAATCACGGGTGGGCTGTTCCTCGTCGTGCCAATGCTCGTCATGGCTTTCGATACATCGCAAAAGAAAAGCCTCATCACGGTCTCGTTATCGGTATTTCTGTTCGCCCTCGCACTCTCGTTTGGAGTCAGAACTTCCAATATTGAAGCGCTTGTCTCAACAGCGACGTATGCTGCTGTTCTGGTGGTGTTCGTGGGGACGAGTTCTGGCGATGGAGGCACCGTGGCAGCTGCAAGTAACTCCACAATGGCATTGTAGTGACTGGAAGTGAACGGAGGCCGGATAGTACAAGGAAAGACACTCAATTCTTCTTCAAAATTGTACGACAGCTTGACGAACAACTTTTGATTTGACCGTTTCTTCGTCGAGCACGACATGTGTCCTGTCATACAGAATGTTGTCTGCGGCTTTGTTGATGCCGCTCACCGTGCATCGCGACTGTGTCAAGTACGCTGGAGTTACGAGCCCATCCTAAGCAGCACAATATTGGAATGCGCTGCCAGTCACCCGGTCGCTAAAAAAGGCCAAACTCAGACCTCACCAAATTTAGCGTGCAGAGAGAAGAACAACAAAACCTCTACCTTTTGCAACGCTTCTTTCTATACTTACAGCTAGAGAGTAGCTCTAGCTAAATAGCTAGTAAAATAGCTTTTATAATTCTCTATACTTTTTTCTACTAGGAATTTAAATTGTATGCTTAGGTAAAGTATTAGAAGCCTTCTGCGGGGGCAAGTTTGTAAGTTCGGGCTTTATTAGCGACCGGGTGCCAGTGTTACATTACAAGGCTGTCAGAGTGCGTATATGTGCGACATCGATGGGCACCCACTCATGTGCTAATTCAGGCTGCGCTTACCGTACCGCGAGGCTGTCTGTCGGAGAACAAAACTACCTAGGTAAGAATACTACAACGGCTAGCCTTTCTCCATATCGCGGCTCAAGCACAGCTTAGTGGCATTACGAATTGTATCATTTGGGCCTCTCTCTGCCTACCTAGGTAGCGATAAGTGAACCTGCATTTCATGTTGAGTTTTATAACTTGTGCTACCCAGCTGAAAATCATGCCTGCCGAGGTGAGATTATGAGATCATCAGGCAGCCGAGAAGTGATCCATTGGCTCTCAACGTCTCTCGACGTCCAAGCGCCCTGCACCTTGCTGTGTCCTGGTTCAGAGGCGCAACCCTGCCTTACTGGAGACAGAACAGATTTCTCCTCAACTTCTCCACAGACTTATCAATTTCACACAATCGCTCTGGGCAATGGGCCGCGGTGGTTACAACGGTGGTAGCGCAGCTGTTGACGGGCCAAACGTCGACGACGTTTATATTTTCACGGCGGACCGGAGTTTGGATGCTGATCTCATTCAACGCTCGCGGATCGTAGGGGCTGGATTTTCGTTGAAGAACGAGCACGGCGCCGTACAAAGAGAGTTTGGATATCTTCTCAGGGTGGATTCGATCGCAACAAGCACGCAGCCTTCAAGGAAAGGCCTTGTAGAGAGAATCCTCGCGGCTTTCGGAAGAAGAGACAAGTCTGGACGCAAGAGCACGACACAGATCAAGTGGGTATCGGCATCGCATTTGCTTCACACCGCGCCAGGAGGAGCGAGTCTGGCGGATCAATACTATCTGGACCACCCAGAAGCGAAGCGACCTTTTGCAGGGTACAACTAGTCGAACCAAACAGCACAGATGCAGCACAGAGGTTATGCACCGAAGTCGACCTGGCGACATCGGCAGTTCCCACCTGATGCTACTTCTACCGTGCCTTGGGACGGTAGCCAAGAACGACAACCAGCGTTTACAGATGACTTATCGAAAACAAGGGTCGACTTCGATGCTTTTATCAACTCCATGGATGATCGATCTTTCGCATACCTATGCTTGATACGCGAATACGCCACTCGTGCTCTTCAAGGAAAAGCAGCAGAATACAGTGGATTATATCAGGCTATGGTATCTCAGACTATTGTCGAAGAAGTCTCATCACGTATATCGATTATCGAATTCCTAACTGATGGTCTACGCTCGAGGACCTTTGCGGCGTTCGAAGAATTCAAGAACTACATTGATGAAGCGTCGGCAAGAAGTGACTCACCATTCAGACGTTTGTTCGTATTGGAAGATATGCCTGTGCGATACATCTGCCTGTTAGGATCAAGGCTTCGTATTCATCCTACAGTCTTCGCGCGCCATTATACAACCGGGGGCAATAGCACGATATCGGACAACATTAATAGTCTCCCTTCGATAATCCAAACCAGCACCTCCGACGGCCTCGACTACGAAAGTGATGATGAAGAACTCCACACGCCTGGTAAAAGAAGAAGTTTTACGCTTCGGTATCCAGTACTCATGCCGCATGTATCTGCCAAACAAAACTCTGACCCGTCCAAATGTCCGACGTGGCTCAAGCCGAACGCGAGACTGAGGGACCAGAGCGCAAATCCACGATTCGTCGTTTCGAGGAACCTGGAAACACCGACTAAATATGATCAGTGGGACGCAAGAGGCGAGATTTCTGAGCTGGAGAGCCAAGTCACATACTGGTACCATATGCTGCCAGGAGGCGGCTGGGAAGGTCAGTCAGAATTTCTACCTTGCTAAATCCAGTCTAGACACTCATGGTACACCTGCAGGCCTAACGCTTGTTGACCCATGCATCAAAGACCCAGCCCATCTCGCTGTTATCAAAGGCAGTCCATATCCGAACCTCAGTCGTATAATTCGATATCCAGAACTGGAAGATCACGAGAAATCTGACTTGGCCCCTCATCCGCTGCAATGGCACCCTAGTGCGGCCTTCACAAAATACGTCCTGCACGATGACATATTGATTCATTTCTCGGTGGCCAATACCGGTCCAGGAGGGAACCCACTATCTGTAACGCCCTTTCTACGTGGTTTTGTGATCAGCAAATGGACCGCCGAATTGAATCACATTCGCAGAAGCTACGGCCATACACGAGCGGCGCTCTTCTCAGTCTCTTCGTCGCATTATTCTGGAAGTACGCATACTTCAGCGCCGCACACAGTGCGCTGGGGAGCGGATTGGAAAGAGTGGCTCTTCGAGACGATGGCCAAATTCACAACGGACCTGTACCTCTACCGTTTCGAAGTCGAGACCAACATGCGCGCTCTGGGGATCGACGTCGAAGACGCGCAAAGTTATGGTTTTGTTGGCAAACGAGAGGCGCAGATATGGCGACTCTTGCGTACCACTTGTATCGATTTACAGGAGATGTTCCAGCATTTGACCGATTCATACACCCAGATCATCGCGCTAAGAGAGGCACAAGCGAGTAATGCGCAAGCCAACTCTGTGCGTTGGCTCACAGTATTGGGGACCCTTTTTGTGCCTTTGTCCGTGGTCGCGGGTATCATGTCCATGGGAGGCGATTTCTTGCCCGGAGAGAGCAAGTTCTGGGTGTTCCTGGCTGTGGTGTGCCCTATTCTGCTGATTATAGGTGCAGTCCTGGTGATGACTATGGACCAGCAGACATTATCGCTGTGGCGGAGATTCAGGTGCTGGTGCGGTATGAGTAGCTAAGGTATCCTCGACGATTCGCTGGATTTGCGGTACTGCCTGTGTCCCTACCGGAAGAAGCTGCAGCAGCAGGATCAAATCGCAGAATCACAACCCTTGCTTTCAAAGGCGCGATGATGTGGAATAATCTTGAAAGCGGGACGTACTACGACGACGCACGCTTCGACCCGGTCTTCGCGATGGCGCAGAAACTCCATGTACCGCTGTATCTGCACCCTGCTGCTGCAACGGCAGATACCGCATCCAAATTGTTCGTGGGTAACTACCCAGCCGCCGTGGCGGGAAAGCTTGGGGTGACCTCGTGGGGTTGGCATGTCGATGTAGGAACGCACGTGTTGCATCTCTATAGCGCGGGGTTGTTCGATCTCTTCCCCAAGCTGAAGTTCATGATTGAACACACAACCGCGAAGGGCTGCCCGTGTTTATTGACCGAATCGATTCGACGGGACTGCGCAACGATAGGACGTTCGATCGGGTGTGGAAGAAGGATATCTGGAGCACGATAAGTGCGTTCTTTACTGTAAGGCAATTTGAGCAGCTGAGGCAGGTGAGTCCAGTCGAGCGGATTATGTGTTTGGTCGATTATCCGTTCAGTATCAATACGGATTGCTGGGCGTTCGAGGAGAAGTTGGCGCAAGCGCAGGTTCTAAGCGACGCTGAGATGGACAGGTTTGCGTAGAGGAATGCAGAGAAGTTGCTGAAACTATGAGTAGCCGAGATTGATGGAACGACAGGTAAAGGTAATCGAACAATGATAGTATTTGCCTATGGACGCGCGTTGGTCGCATGCACAGATGAACTTCAAGGGGCCGATGATGCCATGCCAAGATGTATGACGCTTGTTCACGATAGGGTTAGCGTAGCCGCTAGCGCACCCAGCTCGCGCCTTCGCGCTCGAACGCGTCTCCCCTACAGTCCAGCTTCGCACATCCACCATCTACCATCTAAACATCTTCAGGTCCTGCGAGGCCCAATGCTTGTCTGCGAGTTGGTGCATCAGCCTTAAAGTACGGCTTCTCCGCTAACGACGTAACCCTTGTTCCGTGCCTCGGCTCAATTCCACCATAATCCCAACTCGCGTTGTGGATTGTAATTCTGTTATCCCACAATGCCGAAGTTCCTGGCGTCCAGCGGAACCGGACCTGGATATCGACGTTGTTTTCGTACACATCGAAGAGGTAGTTGAGAATGACGTCGCTTTCAGCTTTGTCTAATCCGACAATGCGATCTGTGAAGGCGCGGTTGACCCACAGAGCTTTCCATCCGGTTGCCGGGTGGACACGAACGATCGGATGAACGCGTTCGATGTGCTTAGGACCAGCACTAGGATCATCACGATCAAGGTACGGGTGCGCACTGCGGTACACTGCCTCTCTGCCATCGATGATCTTTCGGAAAGCAGGAGAAAGCTTCTCGTACGCAGCGTAGCCTGAAGCCCAGAGGGTGTCACCTCCGATCTTTGGGATGGTATCGTTGTGGAGATGGGTTACACTAAAAGAGTCAGAAACGAACATCCTTCCAAGATACTACCACCTACCCAGCAGGTTGGCGTTCGTGTACCAGATCAGTGTGCCATCTAGATGCACCACCCGTCTTCCGAAAGCTGGCTGGCACTTCCGTCGCCTGCAGAGCGGGCCATAGAACCGTCACCCCTGGCACACCGGGTACGAATGGAACTTGCGGCTTCACTCGATGTTAGCGCGTGAAGCGTCTTTGGGGAAGAACTACTCACGTGGACTTCAATCTCGCCATAATACTCACCCAGCTTTTTCTGCTCTTGAGGCGAGAGATCCTGATCACGGAAGAACACCACGCTTCTTTCAGCAATCAGAAGACCAAGCTCGTCCTTTTGTTGATCTGTAAGGTCCTTCAGCTGAAGTCCAACGATCTCGGTTCCGATGTGTGAGGTCAAATGGATGACTTCCTTCGCAGCACCAAACAGCGCTTGCTTCTCTGGATCGGCTCGGGCACCCGGATCGATGTGCTCACGATCATAGTCCCTGATCTTGTACACATCGTCAAGGTAGAGTGGTTTTGCCGGTCTGTACGGATAGCCGGCCGACAGATCGATTCCCGCCTTCTCGAGTCTCTTCCTGGCTGGCTCTGGCAATCCCAGCGAGTCTTTCCGCGGCTGGACAGTATCCTTCTCCTGAATGTGTTCGTGGATGGGGATTGCGATTGGAGCCATTGTCAAAGTCGTTTGTGATGCAGTTGCGCAGACCTCATCGCTCGCGGTCCGACCAATTTTATACCCGGAACTCTATTACCCCACTTCTCAAAACGTTCGCTCACAAATCCGACTCACATGCGTGGTCGACTGATGTGTCTGCATCGCGTGCTGTTTGCGACACATCTTGCGGGGTTGCGATCACATCATAATCTTGCAGATGACGAATACCCATTCAACGCTTCTCCTGTTATCGCTCGGACAAACTTCGCTTCATTTCAAATGTATCGAGAACTGAAATCACACCTTAGTCGCAAATAGGTGCGTCGGTGTTGGTTGCTTGCATCCCACGCGTTTATGGCCGCTCATGATGCCATCCGTATCCACCATCGCGCTTTGTTTCTAGCTACACCCCAGTTGAGCTGCTTACAGTGCTGACAAGCGCTATAGCCGAGGGACAAGCAAGGAATGCTGACAGTGGGTAGATGGCATTCATGATTGAGTGTTGGGAGGCTTGCGTGTGTTGCTGTCGGCTGAAAAGTCGCATTCCATTTGCACGCGCGAAGCTGCGAAAAACTTCCTCCAGCATACAAGCTGTATTCTGAACATGTCGTTCCGCTGCAAAAGTGTTGCTGTAATCGGTGCAGGCATCAGTGGCGTGGTAGCTGCAGCTCATCTTCAAAGAGAGGGTATTAAAGTCACCGTTCTTGAGCGCTCGAGTGCCGCAGGGGGCATATGGTATTCGACCCATCGTTCACGTCCCTCAAACATGGCTGACGGCATGGAAGGCTCTACGATGAGCGACAGCCTCTGGAACCGCCGTATCCGAGAACCGAAGTTTGCAGAGCTGATAGTGCTCATGCGACTGAAGAGACGGAGGAGACAGAGAGACTGCTTCATGCGCCACCTGGGTAAGTTCCACAGACATAGTCTTGAAGCGCTGCTTTGGAGTGACTGACCGCATACAGTCCATGTTATGTGGGCCTCAAGAACAACGTGAGCACGCGCTTGCTGGAAACCACATTGAATCCGTTTCCGCCTGGGACTGAGGATTATGTGACGCATCAAGTCCTGTGCGACTATATACAAGCTACTGCTGCCTCCACGGGGGTGCATGGGTTGACACAGTACGACACAGATGTGAGACGCGTCACGAAGAACGGCAAATCGTGGACGGTCGAGGCTGTGACTCTGCAGACTGATCAGAAAGGTGCGCTCGAAAGACGTGCATCCGTTCATGTCAGTATTATTTTGATGTTGGCTGCGCCTGGAGTTTGCTAATCTTGGGCTAGGACTTTGACGCCGTAGTGATTGCGTCCGGTCATTACCACACACCAAGAGTTCCCGACACTCCTGGACTGGCGGAGTGGAAGCGACGATTTCCTGGTAGAGTGCAGCATTCAAAAAGCTACCGAAGGCCCGAGAATGCCCAAGATAAGGTACGTGTGCGCCAGACTGTTCGAAACGACGTCGTCGTGATCTGATAATACTCCAGAACTATCTACTTGTGGGTGCAAGTGTATCCGCGACGGACATTGCTCGCGAACTGAGCCCGTACGCAAACAAGATTTTACAGAGCCAAAGGAATGGTAAATTTGATCTACCTCCTAGCATGCTTCCCGACAATGCATTCCGCATCGAAGAGGTGGCATCGTACGACGAACCACGCGCGAATGCATATGCATCAGCATCACTGAACCCCGACGAAGCAATTCCGGCAACCGTCACATTGAAGTCAGGCGCAAAGATCTGTGATATTCACCATGTAATACTTTGCACTGGCTACTATCTCACCCTGCCTTTCCTACCACAGCTCACCTCAGACGAGACGCCAGTCAAGCATGCCGACGACGCGGTTTTGGTGACGGATGGTACACAGTTCCACAATCTACACAAGGATATCTTCTACATCAACGATCCGACCCTTGCCTTTGTTGGCGTGCCTTTCTTCACGGCCACCTTCACGCTATTCGAGTTTCAAGCTATGGTCGTTGCAAAGGTGTTCTCAGGCCAGGCCAAGCTTCCCAGCAATGATGTTATGCGGTCGGAGTACTACGCACGCGTGAAGAGCAAAGGTTATGGCAAGTCGTTTCATAGTCTGCGAGATCAAGAAGCGAGCTATGTTGACGAGCTTATGGACTGGGTCAATGCTGATCTAGAAGAAGCCGGCAAGGATAAGTTGCGTGGTCATACCGAGAAGTGGCATAGCGCAAGGGCAGAGCAGCTTGAGAGGATGAAGGCTTTCTTTGCTAACCCTGGAACTGAGAAGCGGTTTGAAGCGACGTGTATATGATATACTGAATGAACACACCATATCTCAATCGCAAAGATCAATCTGCACAGACAGTCAGCAGCGCAGACGTGCCTTCCGCCAGTCACATGATCAAATGGAAAGTGTTGAGGATCTCCGCGCATTTCGTGATGGGTATTGCGCGACTCAGGCACGCAATTTGCTTGCCTAATCACGACACATGACGCCACACCACTCCCATGCATCACGACGATCTTGAGCCTACGAATATAGGGAATGCATTTCGCATTCGTGCCTATCAGATCTAAACTATCTACATGTAGTACAAACCCCACGCGAACCCTGCCATAACGCCATACCAGCCCCAGTATGTCGAATCGCGCTACGAATCCTACCGCGCATTATCGACTCGCCACTGACGCGCCGAGCGCCATGCTCAACGGGCAACCTCTCAAGGGAAGCTTAGCGATGGCAAAGAGGGCCTTGTGTTGCTTGCTCAATAAAGCTGAGGCTTGTGCCAGTACCGCTTCAGACATCAGACACGAGACACACGCTTCACACTGACGCCTCACGAATATGGGTCGACCTCAGGACATCTCGACGGAAGCAGTCGCAGCTACGACTGTCATCCAAACCAACGAAGAGCTGAAAGCGAAGCCGCACAAGTGGTACTACTACCTCTGGGATACCCTAGACAAGCCGAAAGAAGAGCGATGGTTCATGTTCAAGCTCGATGCTGCTCTACTCACTTTCGCATCGTTGGGGTACTTCATCAAGTACCTTGATCAGATGAACATCAACAGCGCTTTTGTCTCTGGAATGTATGTATGTACCCTCTGTTAGTGACGACTGGCTGACATCAGAGTAGGAAGGAAGATCTTGGGCTTTACGGCAACCAGCTCAACTACATGCAGACTTGTTGGACTGTGGGCTATGTCATCGGCGAGATACCCAGCAACATCATTCTTACTCGCATTCGGCCGTCGATATGGATACCCGCAATGGAGGTATGATTCCGCACCAGCGCACCCCATTTAAGGGAAAAACCGAACACCTAAGAGCCTACATCAAGATAAAAGCTTGCGAAGTTGGTAGCCTAACGGCAACGTAGGCTCCCGGGTGTTCAGTTTTTCCCTTGTATGAGGTGACCGCGCCGTTGGGAAATGAGTACTGACACCGGTAGCTTACTTGGGCTGTCTTGACGTTTTGCCTTTGTCGCGCCAACAACGCCGAGACAATCTACGCTCTACGCTTCCTTATCGGCCTTGCCGAGAGCACCTTCTACCCAGGCATGCAATACATCATCGGATCGTGGTATCGAAAAGAAGAGCTCGCCAAGAGATCTTGTATTTTCCACACCAGCGGTGCTATCGCGACCATGTTCTCCGGCTATCTGATGGCCGGCGTGTATAAGCTCGACGGCAAAGGCGGCTTCAGAGGATGGCAATGGCTCTTCATCGTGGACGGGATAATCTCTCTCCCTATCGCGGTCCTTGGCTTCTTCTGTCTGCCCGATCTTCCGGAGATCTCTAAGCCCTTCTACCTGACCAAAGAAGAGGTTGCATTTGCGCAGGAGCGCATGCGACTTGAAGGACGACAGAAGCGGAAGCCGTATACTAGAGCCAAGATACGGAAGATATTCACTTCGTGGCATATCTGGGCTCTCGTCCCGCTTTATGTGTTCTTCAACAACGCTAGTATGGGATCGCAGCCGATCTTTCAGCAGTTTCTCAAGGCGAGCAAGGAGCCGAAGTATACCGTCAGCGAGATCAACACCGTGAGTTCCGCTTTTCCGTTGCAATCAGGAGCAATGCTAACGCTGTTTACAGTATCCGACAACGACCAACGCCGTACAAGTCGTCACAACCCTTCTATACGCATGGACGAGCGACAGTATCCTCAAAGGCTCCAGATGGCAACCCATCGTCTTCGGCGGCTGCATGAACATCATCTGCTCCACCAGCCTCGCAATCTGGGACATTCCCATCAAATGGAAGTGGGCTTGCTACATCCTCTCCGGTTTTGGTGGCGGTCTCTCTGGCTTGTGCTTCGCATGGGCACACGAGATCTGCACGCACGATAATGAGGAGCGGGCCATTGTTGTCGCGGCTATGAACGAGATGGCCTATGTGATACAGGCTTGGCTGCCGCTTCTTGTCTGGAGACAGGTTGAGGCGCCGCAGTATCGTAAGGGGTTTATTACGGTGGCATTCTTGAGTGCGGCGCTGATTGCGACTGCGCTTACGATTCGGTTGCTGTATGCGAGAGAGCTATCGCATAGTCATGGTGCTGGCAGTCGTCGTTACGACGACCAGAGCAGCTCTAGTGATGGAGAAAATGAGTCAGGCATTGGTGCCGAAGTTGGTCACACAAAATGAATTTGAAGCCTCCGCGAGCGGGAAGGCTGTTCTAGATGATGGAGTTGGGATATAGGGCCGCGGACAAGATCGGGATACATTCGGAGGTTCTGTCGCATAGGCCATGCTGCATCGCGGAAAACAGCTTTGCTGGTATGGGTTGGTACTCGGCTTCGTCTTGACACCATTTCACATCGGGCATTCTTTCTCCAGAACTCTGGGCCCGGCTTTGCGATAACTCTGATTTGCTGTAGAGTTTCTGGGTGTCTTGAGATTTACCGGCTATATGGCTGCGCTGAGGGTGTGAGATGTGGGGTAGCAACTCCTGCAGGGCAACCGAGAAGGCTGAGGTTCCAGAGCACCGGGTGAACGAGCGCATGCATGAGCTACGTGTATCCGGTAGTGGCCAGCGG